CCATTTCCAACATTTTTCTGTGATTATACAACACAGAATAAAAACAGAACAATTTCGCGGATTTTTTTTTAAATCACTGTATCCATACCCAATAATGGCAAATAATCCACAAATTATCAGTAAATTGGGGCACAAGATGCAACTCAATGTGGCATTTTATCGTGGCAACCATATCGCTCCTCAGAGCTTTGGTCAAGCAAGATACAAACAATACATTGCTACCTATGTAAAATACAGTGGAACCTTGGTACTCGAACTTTAATTCTTCCAAAAGAGCTGTTTGTAAGTACTGAAACGAATTTTCTCCCGAACCAACGTTTAGCGTGTTGTTGGGTGGGGGGGTTGTGGGGGAGGCTCTCTCACTAATCTTTATTTCGTAGCCCAAGTGACTTATTTACATACAGATAACAAAAACACTCAAAAAATACAAAAAAAAAAAAAGAAAAAAAAAACAATAGTTACATATCGGAATTCTGGCAAGTTGTTTTTTTGTTTGGTTGTACAACCAGTCCAACTACCGAGCAAATTTTCTTTTACTTTACCAAGGACACGTAATCGAATACTGAATTGTTCAAGTAGGGAGCTATTCGAATAAAGTAGTGAGACGCACTGGGGAGGCGGAAAAGGTGATAGGGGGGGGGGTAGTGGGTGGGGAGTGAGGAGGGGGGGAAAGAGGGGGGGGATAGGTGTGGGGAGGAGGGGGGTGAGTATAGTTATGTGGTGAGGGTAAGGAGGGGGGGGAGGGATGGGAGAGTGAGGGGTGAGGGTAGGGTGGAGGGGTAGGAGGAAGGGTGGGGAGGAGTGTTGGAGTAGGGCAACAACTTGGGGCATGGGGGGCTGGGAGGGTGGTAGGGTCTGTCTTTCTGATGGTTGCTCAGTGGTCGTTTGGGGTTTAAGAGTGGTTGATAGTGTGGGTTGTCACTTATTCTCTTGTTTAATGTTTCCGTGTTTTGAGTCCAGGGGGAAGTGGGGGTATAAAAGTATTGTCGGCTGCAGTAGGAGGTCTAGGCGTGGGATGGTGGGGGAATAATTATTGGCGTAGGAAGTGAGGATATTTAATATGGGGACGGTTGTGTATAAAATTGAAGGGTTTTGTTTGTAGATATTAGAGAAGTAGGTAGTGAGTAGGGTTTCAGTTTATTGTAAAAAGTGGAAGTCGAATGTGCGTAGATGTTGTGATGATGAGTAGAAGAGGTGACTTGTGGATGTTTAATGAGAAAAGCTGGAGTCCTGGCTTTAAGTGAAACAAAGAGGCGAAGGGGGTGTAGGAGTTTCAGTGGAGACAGGAATAAATGGATTAGTCAGGGGTTTTCAAAATAGAGTTAGTGCTAAAGAAGGGAGTAGCAATAATGTTGAAGGCGATAAAAGCTAGGCTGGAAAAGAGGGACTAAAAACATGTATTAATTCAAGTATTCATGTGGAGTAAAATAACGATGATGTGAAAAAGAAAAAAAAAGCGTGGGTTAATAAATAAGTCGTAGTATGCACATGGAGAAGAGAGAAGTGTAGAGAGAGAGAGAGATCTTTGGGAAATGTGAGTGATCACTGCGTGGGAGTTTTGAATCAAGTGGAGAGTCAATGGGGTAGGGTTGGGGATTATAAATGCGAAAGTTGGTAAAAATGTTTATGCGCGAGGGAGTATAGCTAAAATTTGGGGACCAGGGGTAAAATGTAAATGAGGGAGCCTTTAAATCTTAAGCAGTGTAGAAAAAATTTGGTAAATAATGTAATACACATATTCTGAGGAGAGATATTAGAGATGAGTGGATGAGATGAAGAGATAGGGGGAGAGGCAGGGGATGGGAGTGGTTTTGAGCTCGATTTGATAAGAGTTGAGGGGGTGTTGGGAGTGTTAGGGGATGATTATTGGTGGATAAAAGGTTGATGTGGTCTAGGCTCCCAGGATGTACATGTTATAAGGAGCAACTGATATATCGGATCATTTATCTTTAGTTTAGCTACAGTTAGAGTACAGAAGGTAGTTGGAAAAGAGGAAGAGTGGCAAACACAAGTAAGAGGGAAGTGAAAAGTGTATAAAACTAAGGAGGGGAGAAGTTCGGGTGAGATAATAAGCGACTATTTGGCAGAAAGTTGGCTATGCCAAGATGAGTAGTGGGGGGGTTGACAGAGCGTTCGGAATAGTTTTAAAAATCTGCAGTATTAGAATTGTGTGGGGGCAGCAAAGTTTGTGGTTATAGGAGGGGTGGGGGCCGAGAGGAAAGCAGGAGTGATTGGTGGAATGATTGAAGTAAAGGGTGAGATAAAAACTAGAAAAGGTACGCTTATGATGAGTGTTTTTTACAAAGCAAAAATGTTATAAGATGAGCAGAGCGTATATGGAAGAGTAAAACAGAAAGGTAAAGAGAGTCGGAGTTGATAGAGTGCAAAAGGAGAGCACATGATAGAGATGAGGAGGCACTGTCCAAGAAAATTTTAATGAAACATAAAGAAAAAATATTGAATGAAGTTAACCCAAGTTAAGATAGCCTAGGAAAAAATGATTTGTCAGTCTATAAAACAGAGAGGGAGTTAGATAAGATGTGGAGATGGAGGTATTAGGGAGTAGATGCGAGAAATATTTTTGAGGAACGTTTTAAATGTTAAGGAAGAACAGAGGCAGGAGGCTGTTGGGCGAGAACGACTGATCAGGGTGTGAAAGGAGTATGAGGCTCAGAGGGGACCATCTTGTAGGGTGAAGAAGAGGCAGAATGGTAAGTGTTGGGGGGAGGTACGTGCGTCATTACGTATAAAATGAAGGGGTAAGCAGCTCTGGAACTGATGGGATCATGACCAGAAAATGATATTAAATAGCAGGGGGATAAAGTGTTGAGCTGGTGGTACTATATTGTTTAATAAAAGTATGAAGACAAGAATGAGCGCGGGGTAGTGTGCGAGTGGGGTGCATGAGAGCAGATGTAGAGAAATTCCCTTTATATAAGGGAAAGGTGGACTAAAGAATATAAAAATTTATAAGGAATAAGCTTACTGAGTATACCTAGGAAAGATGTTACGGTAGGTTATATTGAAAGAATTAGAGGTAAGACAGACATGTAGGATTGCGGATGAGCAAGGAGGTTTTAAGAGTGGGTAGGAGGGCATTGTGTAGGAATCAGGTGTTACATTGAGCATAATACTGGTGGAACAGTATTTAGATAAAGATCAAGGGAAGGTCTACTTATTGCCAACTAGCTTTAGAAAAGGCAACATGATACAGTGGATAGCTAAGGAGCAAATGTGGCATATGGTTGCAAGTATATGGAATAGTTGGTAAGTTATTAAATGCATGTAAAGAGTTGTTTCTCTGAGGATAGTGAGGCTCAGGTTAGGGGTGTAGAAGAAGGAGACTACTTCCCGGTAAAAGTAGTCTTAGACAGGGATGTGTAATGCCACCATGGTTGTCTTAATAAATTTATAGATGGCGCGTGGGTATGAGTAAAGGAAGTAAATGCTAGGGGTGTTTGGGAAGGGGTGGGATTAAATTATGGGGAATCAAAATTCAAAATGGGAATTGCGACACGCTTTACTTTATGCTGACTGATCAGATGCTTATGGTAGAGTCTAAAGAAAAAAATTGCAAAGGTAGTGGATGAGTTTGGGAATGTGTGTAAAGGTCTAAAAGTTGAAGCGGTAGAACATTAGAAAAGAGTCAGGTGATGACGGTGTCAAATGCATTTAGATAAAGAAAAATCGATACTCAAATTGGGGAGGAGAGTAAGGAAAAGTGAATGTTTTCAGATACTTGGGAGTTGAAACGGATGTCCGGACGGATTTAATGAAAGGATGAGGTCTATTCATAGAATTAATGAGGGAAAAAAGGTTGAGTGGTGCGTTGAGGATATTGAGAGTCAAAACAAACGTTATCTATGGAGGCAAAGAATGGATGTAGAAAGTATAGTAGGCATGACCCTGGGGGGGGGGGGGGGGGGGGGAGACAGGCGTCATACGGGAAAGTGGGGTGTGTTGAGCTTTGGTGGGGGTGAAAGGTAGGGGCGGAGGGGCATCGGAGATGACGTTGTGGAGTGGGGCAGAGGAGTGGTCCATGTTTATGGGGGACGAAGTGGTGTGGTGTAGAGATAGTATAGGGTGGGCAGAAAAGTAGCGTGGGGGGAGGGAGTGTGTGGAGGAAGAGGGTTGATGAAGAGGAGGGTGTTGTGTGGGGATAAGAAAAGTGGTAGTACAGAGGGGGGCAGAAGAGGGTGGGGTGTGGGGTTTTGGTCAGGTAGGGAGATGGAATTGGGGGTTGCTGCAGTGAGAGAGGGACGATGGTGGGAGGGAGGGCATATAAATCTATAGGAAAGGAAGGCGGGGTAAGGGGTCTCCTCGAAAGCTTGGAGAGAGGGGTACAAAGAGTTTTGTAGGTAAGGGGCTTGAACTTCCAGCAAGCTGGTGAGCGCGTGTTAGATAGGAGTGAATGGAGACGAATGGTACTTATGAACTGACGAACTGTTGGGAGTGTGAGCAGGGTAATATTTAGTAGAAAGGACTTCAGGAAACCGGTTATTATTCATATATCGGAACTTGAGTCCTGGAATTGGGAAGTAACAATGCCTGCACTTTAAAGGAGGGGTCTTTTGAGGGATATTGGCAGTTTGGGAGGGTATGTTGTCTGTAACTTTATATTTTTATCTCTAGACTGTTGTCAAATTCTGAGCACCTCTGACAAAACTACATGATAATGTGCGAGTGTGGTGATAGTGTTTTGAACTGATGAGAAATAAAGCAATTTTCTTTTGGGGAATTTCTTTCTTTTTCTTTCTTTTTTGGGGTCAACAACCTGACTCGGTGGCGAGAACGGCCAGACTTGTTGAAAACAAAAGAAAAAAAAAAAAAAAAATATATAAATATCATATATATAATATAATAACCCCTGTGTCCTTGTATATAATGTATTATAATGTGTCCATGTTACCTGACATATATCCATAGTAAAGCACATATAATTAATTAGGCTATGAAAAATGATAATATTTATATCATACTCAAAAATCATTGAATTCTACAGTTGGTGATGTGTTTCATGTCAGAAATAACTCTTGTGGCATGAGGGTTCCAGACCAACAATACAGCAATCAGAGCCGACTGCAATGCGACGCGGCCAAGCAGTGCAAACGTTGCAAGCGGCAGAGTGGTTAGGACAGTTTTATACTATACTTCTGTTATAAGAATCAATACTATGATAGGAAAAATTCATAAACCTAAAAATTAGAAATTTTCTGTAAACTTGAAAATGCTTCAGTCCAGTTTGGACTCTAAAATGATCCATAACAACCAAAAATTATCTCCAATATATGGGTGTAATTGGGACTATTCTTGTATATCTTGTTTATAAAACCCTAAAAGTACATATTGATACAATTCCCACATAATTATTTCTTTGGAACATCAGCCATTACACAACAAGGAGAAGATGAAGCAAAGAAACACAAACTATCTCTTGTTTTATTCTTTTCTTCTTTCAACAAACTGGGTGTATCCCACCAAGGCAGGGTGGCCCAAAAAGAAAAAGGAAAGTTTCTCTTTTTAAATTTAGTAATTTATACACGAGAAGGGGTTACTAGCCCCTTGCTCCCGGCATTTTAGTTGCCTCTTACAGCACGCATTGCTTAGGGAGGAAGAATTCTGTTCCACTTCCCCATAGAGATAAGAGGAAATAAACAAGAATAAGAACTAGAAAGAAAATAGAAGAAAACCCAGAGGGGTGTGTATATATGTGCTTGTACATGTGTAGTGTGACCTAAGTGTAAGTAGAAGTAGCAAGACGTACCTGAAATCTTGCATGTTCATGAGACAGAAAAGAGGACACCAGCAATCCTACCATCATGTAAAACAATTACAGGCTTTCGTTTTACACTCACTTGGCAGGATGGTAGTACCTCCCTGGGTGGTTGCTGTCTACTAACCTACTACCTAGGTCTTGTTTTATTATTTACAGTAATAATAATAAGAGGGGTTTTAGGATATTGGCAGTTTGGAGGGATGTTATATATTTTTATATATGCTTCAAAACTGCTGTATTTGGGCACCTCTGCAAAAGCAGTGATTATGTATGAGTGAGGTGAAAGTGTTGAATGATGATGAAAGTATTTTCTTTTTGGGTCACCCTGCTTTGGTGGGAGACAGCTGACTTGTTGAAAAAAAAAATTCTAATTAAAATTTCCACTTCTAAGCTACTGTGTGCATGCATGCTAACACTGACCCAGAACTACATCTATCTACAGCAGCTATTATGCTATATGAGAGAGACAGTTTTATATCTTCTTTCTTTCAACACACCGGCCGTAACCCACCGAGGCAGGGTGGCCCAAAAGGAAAAACGAAAGTTTCTCCTTTTACATTTAGTAATATATACAGGAGAAGAGGTTACTAGCTCCTTGCTCCCGGCATTTTAGTCGCCTCTTACAACACACATGGCTTACGGAGGAAGAATTCTGTTCCTCTTCCCCATGGAGGTAAGAGGAAATAAACAAGAACAAGAACTAGAAAGAAAATAGAAGAAAACCCAGAGGGGTGTGTATATATATGCTTGTACATGTATGCATAGTGTGACCTAAGTGTAAGTAGAAGTAGCAAGACGTACCTGAAATCTTGCATATTTATGAGACAGACAAAAAACACCAGCAATCCTACCATCGTGTAAAACAATTACAGGCTTTCGTTTCACACTCACTTGGCAGGACGGTAGTACCTCCCTGGGTGGTTGCTGTCTACCAACCTACTACCTACAACAGTTTTATGTAACATGATTAATATCTATGACAATCTTGGAGACCTAAAGAACTTCAAACAATAAACTGAATAAAATCACCACAATTTTACTTTTTTCATTATACTGTACTGCCTTATAATAATTTTAAATATTTTTGCTAGGGTGGTGCAGTGAAAATTATTTTAATTTTGATTTTTTCAACTAATGAATACAATAGGTCTGAATGAATTGTGGAAAACTTCATAAGGCATGCAAACGTGATCCATAAATATGGATCAATCCAAAGTCTACAAATGAGTATAGTTTACGATGGATACTGGCCAATACTTCATGAAGTGTACTTCGGCTATTCAGAATAATCCAATATTGAATAAAATAAAATTTGTTGCAGTTATAATGATTAAGTATAGTAGCCTCAGTGCTCACATTTGAGAAAGGATTCTGTGGGTAACATATCAGTTTGTCCTCTCCTGTGTTACCCACAGGAGAGATAGAAATGTTATCTACAGCAGCTTCTCCAAACTGATTAATAGTGAATCGTTCAACTTTTATTCTTCTTTAGTATTAGTGTTAAGGTATTGTACAGTACTTGCCTTTTTGGGATAAATATTAAAGATCTTTGCAGCATTTGTGGATGTGACTGCTACAAATCTGCAAGGGTCCATTTTCCCTGATACCACACCATTTTCCCAGATGATTGACATTCGATCTTCTACGCCATTCACACCATTAGGGATCTTGGTGAAGTCATCCTTGCCTAGAGCTTTCTGGGAAGCTGAGAAGGTGCAGTTGTCTGTACCAGTGGTCTGAAGGTCACCACTGTAAATACAAGAGTCAGGTTAGAGTTTAAGATTATAAGGTTAAACTACATATTATACAAGTAAATACAATATGTCATTCGGTGTAATTAACTGAAATGCTGGCCATTCATATCAGGTGATGCATTATGTTCTAAGAATACCAAAAAGAAGCAGTTGTATTTCACAGTTTTCGGAAATATCTGCCACATTTTTCTGGCGTATTCTTAAAGACAGAATATACAGGAGTCCACACCTTACAAATGCCCCATGTTATATACATCAGCAGTTACAAACTGGGCACCTAGTAGCTTATTACAATTTTACAACTGCCAAGCTGCAGTACAAAAATGTGTGAATTATAAACATGCACTTTGTACTAATGTTTTCTACACAGACAACTTGCTTGTAAGATGGAACACCAGCAACACACCTCAAAACTTATGGCCCTCCTTTATATATACAATTCCAGGAATGTATTTAAATTTTATACTGAAAAAGGCTACAGCTTATAAGCATGAAATTCAACTGCTGCATTTTCAAAAGCTCATAGGAAAAAATAAAAAACATTCGCATATACTGTATACAGATGCTGCAAGTGCTATGTGGTCCACACAACTCAAAAAACTCATCAACACTTAATTCTCTACAAGAATCTCTAATACAATTTGCAAACTGCAACAATCACATAATGTTAATGAACACTGCACAACCAGAACTACTGATTACAATGGCATAATGCATATTAAATTCACATAAAGAAATGTTGTACAGTGAAAGGAAACCTGTATACAAGTACGTATATACTGCACTGAACATACAGTACAAATAATATCAGCAGTAAGCAATTCAGTTCACTGCTGCTAAATTTTCAACAACAACAACAGTGAAGGTCTTGAACCATTTAACCTATAAAACTCAAAGAATGAAAAGGCACAATACAGTGATGGGAACACTACACAAATAACCAGCACATACAAGAAAAACGTATGGCAATGTTACGGTCTGACTTGGATCATTAAATGGTTACGTATATACTGGCTCCCTTATCTTCCCATGTTAGTGTGAATAGTTAATGGTCCAAGTTGGACCGAAACGTTGTCGTAAGTTTCTCCCATGTATAAAACTCATAGTACAGTGGACCCCCGCTTAACGATCACCTCCAAATGCGACCAATTATGTAAGTGTATTTATGTAAGTGCGTTTGTATGTGTATGTTTGGGGGTCTGAAATGGACTAATCTACTTCACAATATTCCTTATGGGAAAAAATTCGGTCAGTACTGGCACCTGAACATACTACTGGAATGAAAAAAGTTCGTTAACCGGGGGTCCACTGTATTTTGGGAAGTTCAACAAGGATCTATAGATAACAAAAAAGGCACAATACCGTGACTGGAACGATACACAAATAACCCGCACATAAAAGAGAGAAGCTTACGACGACGTTTCGGTCCGACTTGGACCATTTACAAAGTCACACTAACCAGAAGTGGGGCAGGACGGCTATATATAGGCAGGAAGAGGTGGTGGTAGTAGTAGTACAAGAATGGTATATACAGTGGACCCCCGCTTAACGATCACCTCCCAATGCAACCAATTATGTAAGTGTATTTATGTAAGTGCATTTGTGCGTGTATGTTTGGGGGTCTGAAATGGACTAATCTACTTCACAATATTCCTTATGGGAACAAATTCGGTCAGTACTGGCACCTGAACATACTTCTGGAATGAAAAAATGTCGTTAACCGGGGGTCCACTGTAATACCGTTATTTGTGTATTGTGTAAGGATCTATAGTACAGTGACGTAAAATTCTTCAAACTGGATATACCAACAAAGTGCTCTCGTGATACAATTTTGTATACATGTATAAAATGTACACAGAACTGATGAATTAAATGCATTTCTGAGTATGGAAAATAATTTTTGTTACATATCCCATTTTTTAACAAAATTACGATTAATATTTACATGCACGAATGCTTGAATTTCATCTAATTTCATCTCATTCCAATTCCCACTGGAAATTTTCTTGGAGGTAAATTTACTCATGCAGAATCCTGGAGACATTAAAATAATTTGGATAAGTTTAAGATTTTTTGGCAAGATTTGAAATACACTTGATGAATCTTACATGCAGATTTTATCAAAACATCACCGAAACAATCACCACTTATATGCAAAAAAAAAATTGGAACATGTGCAAGTACAGTGGACACCTGCCTTACGATCAGCTTCCAATGTGACCAATTATGAAGTGTATTTATGCAAGTGCTTTTGTACGTGTATTTTTGGGGGTCTGAAACAGACTAATCTAATTCACAATATTCCTTATGGGAACAAATTCGTTCGGTAACGGCACCTGAACACACTTCTGGAATGAAATTATATTGTAAGGCGGGGGTCCACTGTATAGTGGAACCTTGGTATACGACCAGCTCAGCACTTGACCAAACAAATACGACCTGCCAGAACTTCGCTGTAAACTATTTCATGTTTCTTCGCATTTTGGTGTTTTTTAGTATTATTTGTATAAATAAGTCACCATGGGGCCTACAACGATTAGTGATAACAGCCAAACAAATAGAAAATTGGTTGGGAAGAACTTGTTCGATACTCAAAAAGAGAGGCACTTAAACAGCCTTCTGGAATGAGTTAAGGTCGTATACCGAGTCTCCACTGTATATGCTAGTAGTAGAAGAAAAAATGATGAAGGATAAGAAAATATAGAAATAAATGAATACATGAGAGGTGTATTGGATAGGAAAAACAAAGTGTGGAATGCAAGTGGTACTGGTTTAGTGTGAAGGTAAAATGTTAATTGGTGGTAGTGCAGTGGATAACACTAAAGTGGTGATGGTGTAGAGTGAAGAATTAAACACCAAGTGGTGGTGCAGAGTGAAGAATTAAACACTGGGTAGTAGTGGTGTGATGTGCAGAGCTTAAATATCAAATGATGACAGTAGTGCAATGTCCAGTGCTACAAAAACCAACTGTTGCTGGGGAAAAAGCAGTGTGTGCACACTGTGTATCACCACACATTGCACAGACCTGTGTATCACCTTACAGTGTGCATGCACCTATTTAATCACCTCACAGTGTGCTCCCACTGACAGACAATCACCACCAATAAGGCTACTAGTTAATTTTGATTCCTGTCAACACTATAAACATCTCAATGAATTACCTATTTAAGTGTAACTATGTCGACCAAATATTTACTGCAATATGACGTGCAAATATTTTACGTACTTATTTTAAAATAGTGAAGGGGGGTGAGGGAGGGGTTCACTTTAGTAGGAATAATTCACAATACAATATATTGTAGTTATTACTTAACTAGTGTGGATAACAAGCAGGTGGGTATAAAAAAAAAGCATTCAACTAAAAATAATTCAAGCAAATTAAGATTCCTCGGTTTCTAATGACAGTCTTACGCATTCAAAAGCTCCATGAGTAAGTTGGGAGTTCTGGGGTCATTACGCAGAGGGGGTGACATGACATGACCAGCTGCATGTTGCCAGCAAGGGTTGTAGTAGTGGGAACCGTCAGTTCCCAGGGCAGCAACAATGGTCTCACCCCATACCAGTGTGCCTCTTCGAAGATTTTCTCCAAGAGCTGAAGCTGCTGATATGCTCGTAACATTGCAAATATAAAGAGGACACCCAACCTGAAATAGACTTTCCATGATAGACACTACGGGTAAAGAATCTATAAAGGAAGATCATAGTATAGGGTAGAGATAAAGGCAAAGTTAATGGTGCGGTTAGTCTGTCTACTCCAGCTAGAACGAGACAACAAAAATAGTCCTAAATTCTCCTAGCGATGTGCTAATGATGAACAAGGAATAAAAAAAACTGCCAAAATACAAGAAAAATAATAATAATCATTAACATACTTTGCCAACAGATCCATGAGGTATTTGGGTGTTTCTGGATCAGATCTAAGGGGAGGACCCATCACATGAGCAGCTGCGTGCCTCCAGCACTTGTGCCAGTAGTGTGTACCATTAGTCCCCAGTGAGGCAGCAATGGGCTCACCGAACACAATGCTGCCTTGCTTTCGCCTACTGGAAATTACATCAGCAGCACTCTTTGACATAACATGCACTACATATAGAGGACATCCAACCTAAGAAGTGAAAAGTAAATAGAAACATATCATAAAAGTGAAAAAACAACTAATAGAAAACTAAATATGGCTTGATCAAGAAAGGTAAGTACTCTCACAGTACACTGTAATCTTTTCCCTATCACTCTCATAATTTTTCTCTCAAGATTGCTCTCCCATGGACACACACACTGTTTACAGTCTCTTGAGAAATACCAATAAATAAAGCAGTTTCTAGAGAAAAATCTGAGATTTCTCTGATAAGTTATTAGAGTATTTTTTCTCCTACCACACCACATTTTTCTAATTTATTTATTGGTACAGTTTTGTTGAGGACATTACCCATTATGTGCATAATTAAAAGATGTATGGAAATTTAAGTTGTGGAACTCCTCAGGTGCTCACTGGAAGACCAAATGCAGCAGGCATCTTCCACTCAGAGGTCTACCTGGAGGTCATTCTGAGGTTCAATGCCCTCACAGCACAGTCCTTGACCAGACCTCCTGGTGGCAGTCCTCAGGTCTCAGGTACACACACTCCTGCTGTGCCCTCTTTCTCTCTCCTATCTTCCTCCTCCTCTAGTTCCTTCACACACAATCTTCTCAAACATCTAAACACCATCACCTTCATACAGCCCTCCTTCTTACACTATATTAATAATAATAATGCTATATTTCTATGAGTATACAGATAATGGAGATACCTGGGTAGAAACAAGAATATAATAGGCAAAAAACAAAGCCACTAATTATGCACTACATAATTAAACATGACTGTATATAAGTTAATGTTAAGGGTTACCAAAATGCTCTGCATAACCAAAGGCTTTCTACTGAGTTTTCCAATTATGTTAGCTAATCCTGTATCACTTACATACTTTATGGAAATAAGGATTATCATTTATCAATATTAGATATAGCTTATGTTTGTATTTTATATTTAATTCCACCTTCCGTATATTAAATATGACCACTTGAAACTCAAGCCTTAAAAGCTGAATGAAAGCTGGATTTTACCCAAATTAACTGAAAATCCATAAAAATTACAAGTCTTCTGACCTACTGGTATGTACTAAAGTTACTTATATGCTACACCAGCTGTGACTTCCCATTTTCTAGTGATGTTCCTCAACACCACAACCTCTTCCCCATCCGTCAAGGTAAACACCTTGATGAGAGGGAAGGGCTCTCAACCCAAGAAATTAGAGGTACTCTACTCTTCCTGCCAGAAATGCACTGCATGTCATTGGCTTTCTCTTGTGCCTAACAATATTTTATTACATGTAAACTACATTACCTATATACATATTAATATTTTTTTTAACACATCAGGCATCTCTCTCACTATCATTCACACTATCACTGTCTGACAGAGGCATGCAGATATGACAGTTTAGATGTCACTCTCAACAGCAAATATCTCAAACCCATCCTTTGTGCAGTTCATGGTATTATTGAGATGTTTTATCCACCATATACCGCACAGTGTGTCTTATTCACATATTTTTTGTATAGTTTGCCAGTGATGTACATGAGAGGTGTATATTTCAGCGGCAATCAGAGACTGTCTTCAGGTGAAGATAGTCTATGTCGAAGACCAAAACATATAACATTTCTTTCACCTGTGTTTAATATTTCTATCCAATTGGCTTCTTGCTCATCAATGTCTGACACTAATCCAAGCATTTTTTTTTTTACCCAAACAGTTTCCTCCTGCCTAAGGAGGGTGACCCAAAGAAGGAAATACAGTACATACACCATTTTGTTGAAAATAAGAAAAAGTTTTGGAGTGAGATTAACAAGTTAAGAAAGCCTAGAGAACAAATGGATTTGTCAGTTAAAAATAGGAGAGGAGAGTTATTAAATGGAGAGGTAGAGGTATTGGGAAGATGGAAGGAATATTTTGAGGAATTGTTAAATGTTGATGAAGATAGGGAAGCTGTGATTTCGTGTATAGGGCAAGGAGGAATAACATCTTGTAGGAGTGAGGAAGCCAGTTGGGGAGTGTGGGGGAAGTTCGTGAGGCAGTGGGTAAAATGAAAGGGGTAAGGCAGCCGGGATTGATGGGATAAAGATAGAAATGTTAAAAGCAGGTGGGGATATAGTTTTGGAGTGGTTTTGGGGCAATTATTTAATAAATGTATGGAAGAGGGTAAGGTACCTAGGGATTGCAGAGAGCATGCATAGTTTCCTTTGTATAAAGGCAAAGGGGATAAAAGAGAGTGCAAAAATTATAGGGGGATAAGTCTGTTGAGTGTACCTGGTAAAGTGTATGGTAGAGTTATAATTGAAAGAAATTTAAAAGTAAGACGGAGAATAGGATAGCAGATGAAACAAGGAGGCTTTAGGAAAGGTAGGGGGTGTGTGGACCAGGTGTTTACAGTGAAACATATAAGTGAACAGTATTTAGATAAGGCTAAAGAGGTCTTTGTGGCATTTATGGATTTGGAAAAGGCGTATACAGGGTGGAAGGGGGGCCATGTGGCAGATGTTGCAAGTGTATGGTGTAGGAGGTAGGTTACTGAAAGCAGTGAAGAGTTTTTTACGAGGATAGTGAGGCTCAAGTTAGAGTATGTAGGAAAGAGGGAAATTTTTTTCCCAGTAAAAGTAGGCCTTAGACAAGGATGTGTGATGTCACCGTGGTTGTTTAATATATTTATAGATTGGGGTTGTAAGAGAAGTAAATGCGAGGGTCTTGGCAAGAGGCGTGGAGTTAAAAGATAAAGAATCACACACAAAGTGGGAGTTGTCACAGCTGCTCTTTGCCGATGACACTGTGCTCTTGGGAGATTCTGAAGAGAAAGTTGCAGAGATTGGTGGATGAATTTGGTAGGGTGTGCAAAAGAAGAAAATTAAAGGTGAATACAGGAAAGAGTAAGGTTATGAGGATAACAAAAAGATTAGGTGATGAAAGATTGAATATCAGATTGGAGGGAGAGAGTATGGAGGAGGTGAACGTATTCAGATATTTGGGAGTGGACGTGTCAGCGGATGGGTCTATGAAAGATGAGGTGAATCATAGAATTGATGAGGGAAAAAGAGTGAGTGGTGCACTTAGGAGTCTGTGGAGACAAAGAACTTTGTCCTTGGAGGCAAAGAGGGGAATGTATGAGAGTATAGTTTTACCAACGCTCTTATATGGGTGTGAAGCGTGGGTGATGAATGTTGCAGCGAGGAGAAGGCTGGAGGCAGTGGAGATGTCATGTCTGAGGCCAATGTGTGGTGTGAATATAATGCAGAGAATTCGTAGTTTGGAAGTTAGGAGGAGGTGCGGGATTACCAAACTGTTGTCCAGAGGGCTGAGGAAGGGTTGTTGAGGTGGTTCGGACATGTAGAGAGAATGGAGCGAAACAGAATGACTTCAAGAGTGTATCAGTCTGTAGTGGAAGGAAGGCGGGTAGGGGTCGGCCTAGGAAGGGTTGGAGGGAGGGGGTAAAGGAGGTTTTGTGTGCGAGGGGCTTGGACTTCCAGCAGGCATGCGTGAGCGTGTTTGATAGGAGTGAATGGAGACAAATGGTTTTTTAATACTTGACGTGCTGTTGGAGTGTGAGCAAAGTAACATTTATGAAGGGATTCAGGGAAACCGGCAGGCCGGACTTGAGTCCTGGAGATGGGAAGTACAGTGCCTGCACTCTGAAGGAGGGGTGTTAATGTTGCAGTTTAAAAACTGTAGTGTAAAGCACCCTTCTGGCAAGACAGTGATGGAGTGAATGATGGTGAAAGTTTTTCTTTTTCGGGCCACCCTGCCTTGGTGGGAATCGGCCGGTGTGATAATAAAAATAAAAAAAAAACACCATTATTCAGTCACTCCTGCCAGAAGTCTACTGACATCACACTATCCTGCAGTTGCAACATCTCCACACTGATACAAACAAATCAGTCTCTATGTAAATAATGAGATAAACACAAAATTAATATAAAATCAAAGAAAATTAAAAAATAAAAGCCAAACAGATTTTTACATAAAATTAAAACAAGTTAGATGAACCAAATAAATTTTAAAACTACTGGAAGACTAAAGATATAGAAATAAGAACATAAGAAAGGAGGAACACTGCAGTAAGCCTACTGGCCCATACTTGGTAGGTCTTTCTCAAACCCACTAAAAAACGTTCACCCAACCCATTATCAATGTCATCCAAGGGATAAAGCTTTGATAAGCTATAATACATTATGTTAACTTCTACAATACAGTCAGGCACCGAAAAGTAAAATCTTACTTTGTCAGAGCAGAACAGAAGCAGATTGGGTCTTAGAACTGGCCCGAGCATCCGTAACCTATCAGGTTAGCTCGTTAACTGCTGAAGGACAGAGGCGTGTTGTCACTGCTCAGCTATGGCATGTTCCATTTTTGTTTCAATCTTTATGCAGCGGCTATTTTTTCAACTATTTTTCTTTTACCCAGCCCAGCGGCCTGCCGGGCACTGCCCAAATGCCTGTATGGCCAGTCTGCCTCTGGAGTGGAAATATTTTTGTTGTTCTCGGGTATTATTATGATCCTCGTTGACTTGTACCTTAATGTTTTGTGTAGGAATTCATTCCACGAAATTTTCCTTAGATGAATAACAGGTTTGGAACTATGGTGGAGATAAATGGTATAAAATACCGACATGCTGGAAAAACAGGCACAAATGCAGTATAATGCGATATTTTATTGACTATGTTTCACTTTACTGACTGTGTAGTCAATAAAGGATCGCATTCTGTATATCATTATTGTGTATAATATCATTATTGTGTATAATATTATATCATTACTGTGTAGAATATTATATCATTACTGTGTAGAATATTATATCATTACTGTGTATAATATCATTATTGAGTGTCTTTCGTCTTTTCTTTCAACACACCGGTTGTATCCCACTGAGGCGGGGTGGCCCAAAAGGAAAAACGAAAGTTTCTCCTTTTACATTTAGTAATATATACAAGAGAAGGGGTTACCAGCCCCTTGCTCCTGGCATTTTAGTCACCTCTTATGACACACATGGATTACAGAGGAAGAATTCTGTTCCACTTCCCCATGGAGATAAGAGGAAATAAACAAGAACTAGAAAGAAAATAGAAGAAAACCCAGAGGAGTGTGTGTATATATATATGCTTGTACATGTATGTGTAGTGTGACCTAAGTGTAAGTAGAAGTAGCAAGACGTACCTGAAATCTTGCATGTTTATGAGACAGAAAAAAGGACATCAGCAACCCTACCATCATGTAAAACAATTACAGGCTTTTGTTTTACACTCACTTGGCAGGATGGTAGTACCTCCCTGGGTGGTTGTTGTCTACCAACTTTTTTTTTTTTTTTTTTTTTTTTTTATCACACTGGCCGATTCCCACCAAGGCAGGGTGGCCCGAAAAAGAAAAACTTTCACCATCATTCACTCCATCACTGTCTTGCCAGAAGGGTGCTTTACACTACAGTTTTTAAACTGCAACATTAACACCCCTCCTTCAGAGTGCAGGCACTGTACTTCCCATCTCCAGGACTCAAGTCCGGCCTGCCGGTTTCCCTGAACCCCTTCATAAATGTTACTTTGCTCACACTCCAACAGCACGTCAAATATTAAAAACCATTTGTCTCCATTCACTCCTATCAAACACGCTCACGTATGCCTGCTGGAAGTCCAAGCCCCTCGCACACAAAACCTCCTTTACCCCCCTCTCTCCAACCTTTCCTAGGCCGAGAGAGGGGGTAAAGGAGGTTTTGTGTGCGAGGGGCTTGGACTTCCAGCAGGCATGCGTGAGCGTGTTTGATAGGAGTGAAGTCTACCAACTTACTACCTATAATTATTGTGCATATCATAATTATACACACTACAGAAGGCCCCCAATGTGTTTGTAAGTTGACGACTTCATGTATTATGAATATTATACACAATTCAGCAAGTCCTCAATGTGTTTGTAAGTCGCAGACTTACTGTTTACTGCATTTGTGTCTTTCTCTTTAGAACTATGGTATTGGGACCCCAAACCATCTAAACTTTTGGTGCTTGGTTGTACAAGTGTGCCTTACTTTATGCATGGTCCATCAATATTTAACTTGTAGTTACAAGAACCCTCTTGACAATCTCTGGCACAGCTGTGCACAGTCTGAGAAATGCTCTGATGTCATAAAGGAAATTTATGTCTCACATAGAGAATGGAAAAATGTGTGGCATCACATAATGGTGAATTTTCATACAGTTAACTCACATAAAATCAAGTGATCACTGTAGAATAATCACCTCTGCTGCGTAAACTATACAACTGTATTTGTGATCCTGATCGTGTACTAAACATAACAATAAGAACTTTTGGTGGCTAGGATGGTGCTTCTTGGAGACTAACAGAAACTTTACAAAGATTAAACTACTCTCTAGTCTGCAGAATTTATAAAGTAGAAATTACATAAACTATGATACAATACATAGTACTATAGTACCTTAACAATTTGCAAGCGGGCAAAATTATTTACAAATGTTATCTCTCAGTTCACAGCAGGATTCAAACCTACACACTCTGCATCAGAGTACGTAGTACTTACGCCACTCACCTAGATCCAGATTGAAGTGGCATAAGTACTACATACTTTGATGCAGTGTGTAGGTTCTAATCCTGCTGTGAACCGAGAGGTAATGTTTATAGTGTTTTACCTGTACATCTATGATAAGTGTGGGAAAGGCAGAAATTATTTGGGAAGACCATATACATTATCCTCATTAAGATTTCAGATTTTGCTTGAAACACACCTGATTGGCCAAGACACAAGCTCTGTTGGTTGCCTCTGCCTCGACTTCTTCTGGCCGACTCAACTCATGACCTTCTGGCCCAGTGATGCCCATGGAGAGAAGTTTCCTACAATTCTGAAAATAAAAGTACCACCACCACTTTATTTTTAACTACAGTACCAACAATCAAGTAATTTCTTAAGCTTAATATTTTTTTTCAACACACTAGTCATCTCCCACTGAGGCAGGATGACCCAAAAAAGAAACACTTTCACCATCATTCAGACCATCATTGTCTTGCCAGAAGCACGCAGATACAACAGTTTAGATGTCCCTCGAAACAGCAAATATTTCAAACCTCTCCTTTAGAGAGCAGACACTCTATACATATACATGTACTTATAAAGTATATTTGTCTCACGAAATTCCAACAACACACTTGCAAACAAACCACAGAACAGGTGGGGTCTGAACCCATGACAAGTGAGTCCTAAAACTGGCCTGCAAATTTTAGGACCCACATACCATGGGTTCAAACCCCATCCATTCCCTGGTTTAATAGTACATGTGTATTGTGTATACCAATACAATTTGCATTACATGTAAATTTTAACTACAAGGCTACTCTATCCATGTGTTCTCCCATCAGTGATGAGCTGAAAGATTTTTAATGTTGTAGCAAAATCTGCTACTCGGTGTGTAGTAACCGACTATAATATGGTTGTCTAAAAAGAATAAGAGTTACTCTTATTGTCACAAGGAAGGAGCACAGTAATCCCCCCTGTATCCCCAGGGGATACATTCCAAGAACTACCTTGGATACCTGATACTGTGGATAGTAGCAAGCTATGTACAAGTCATTTTTTATTTATATACATACCTATGATAGTTTAATTGGTAAATTATGCACATTAAGTCGAGAATTAGCACTTTTTCACTGATGGGAAGCACTTCATGGCATATATTAGGCTTTGAAGAACTGCCAACATCATTACTTTTGCACTTTGGGGCTATTATCAAGCAAAATTAACGGTTAATTTTGGGCCACAGTTAACTGTGGATACCAAATAAATATAACTGAAACAGCACATATACAATTGAATCAAGTGTAAAAAGGCCTTCACAGTATGAATTACTGAATTTTGAATGTATGTTTTCAATCACACATGCAAAAAATACACTATATCAAGGAGCCTGGCAATACGCTTGCCTCACACTCAATGTCCGGGGTTCAATCCCTGGCACGGGTAGACATATTGGACATTTTTCCTTATAGCTGCTGTCACTGTTCATCGAACAGCAGGTAAGCACCTGGGAGTCAGTCAACTGTTGTGGCTGGCATCCTGGGGGACAAGATTGAAGGACCACAATGGAAATAAAACTGACAGTCCCTCGATGATGCAATAACTTTCTTAGGTTATCTTGGGTGGCTAACCCTCTGGGTTAAAAATCCCAACAAATCCTATCTTATCTTCCATAACCACATGATTGACCTTAACTATGATAAGTGACCTAGTCAAAAAAATTACTGATTGAGATACTTAAATATTTTTATATTACACAGTTCACACTAGAATACTGATATATTCACCTTTTAGATCAATAACACCATATATACTGACCTCTTTAATGATGTCACCATTTTCAGCATGTACCTGAGCCAGAGCACCTAGTTCCTTGCATCTCTTCAGTGACTTCAGGAGATCTTCGTCACCTAGCTGCCACGTGTCTTTGTATGCCATGAACATTTTGAAGGAGTTGATCCCGTGTTCTTCTGTCAGTTCCTCCATCTCCTCCGCTACCTGCATGTCAAAGATCATTTTGGTATTGCAAGTGCATGTTAAAGATCCTTTTAGAATTCTAAGTGCATATTACAGTACATAGATTTACCCTAAAATAGCCCAATAAACTCAAGCAATGTGACACTGTTGTTATTATTGATTTTTAATTATTATTTCAACAAACTCGCCATATACCACTGAGGCAGGGTGACCTAAAAAGAAAAACAAAAGTTTTGTTTTCAAATTTAGTAATTTATACAGGAGAAGGTGTTACTAGCCCCTTGTTCCTGTCATTTCAGTTGCCTCTTACAACACACATGGCTTATGGAAGAAAGATTCTTTTCCACTTGTTAAAAGAATACTTTTTTCTAATCAACACGCTGGCCATCTCCCACCAAGGCAAGGTGACCCAAAAGAGAAAGAAACACTTTCACTATCATTCAACACTTCCACCATCATTCACACATAATTACTGTCTGCAGATGTGCCTAGATACGACAGCTTAGAATATAATGTTAATATTCGAAAGCCCACCTTGTCTGACCACCATGTAACTCCGACATGAAGGGAATAGTCACAACACACTTTAGAGTCGGCCCACGTACGCCAGCGGTGATAGGCCTCAACCAGTGACTCTCCACGCTGAGGCAGAGCAAAATCCACTGTGGGTAGAAATTGAAAAAAATCATTGTTTTTAACATACTATAGCCATTTGCCATATTTTAGAATGATCCAAAGAAAGAAGCACAGTCAAAGACATTCATTCAACAGCTTTCTTGCTACTAATACATAAATATTAAAATTCAAATGACCATTCAACCCACATTCTTCATCTATCCTTCAGAGAACAAGCAATAAACTTTCTCTATCCTTCACAGAGCAAACAGTAAACTTCAGGCTTTTAGAGCTCACATCCAGCTAGCTGATTTCTCTGAATCCCTTCACAGAAGTGGCAGACCTACATTTTAGGGGCCCTCAAGCTTGAACTGTTATGGGGGCCCCTTCTCATACAGTGGCCTCAGAATTTTTAAGCAATGTGGACTAAGGTGGCTTCTGGGGCCCCTCTGGGATTAGGGGCCCTTAACTTAAGCTTCATTACTTTCATGGTAGATCTGCCCCTGCCTCACAGATGTTACTTTGCTCACACCAGCAGCAAGTTAATTCTCAAAAACCACTATTCTCCACTCACTCCATACAATCACCATCAAAATACACAATAATGATGAGTGCATTGTATGTACCAACTACAGACCATAAGGTCCAACCACTTTAGATTTGATGAAACACATGCCTTCAAGAGGATGCCTTGATCCTGGCAAACAGCTCTTGAGCCAAGGAACTGGACATACCCTCCCTTTTCTTTAACTGAACCTGATTCCTAAGGTGCTGCATACCCTTTGGGTTTACCACTTCCCAGGAAAATAATAATTCATAGTGGTTACACTGGTACTGCACACCTTGTATTAAACAAAGAACAATAAAGGCACAATACCGCAACTGGAATAATACACAAGTACCTCGCACGTAGAAGAGAAACTTTTGACGACATTTTGGTTCAACTTGGACCATTTACAAACTAATAAATGGTCCGAGCGGACCAAAATGTTGTCATAAGCTTGTCTCTCCTATGTGTGAGAGATATGTATCTTGTGTTCAACAGTCATGAGTCTACTTGGATACAGTACAAAGGCGAGATCCCCACAGAATGGAGTAAAAGAAATACTGTGTAGACAGAGGAAGATTTTGTTGTGACAACATTTTGTTATGCATAAAACTTGATCAATTCATTAAGATTTAATAAAGCTTTACATAAAGAAAATTTTTTTTTTTTCTTGAAAAAAAAAAAGGAATGCTTTTATAAGATTTTTTTTTTCAATGAACTGGCCGTATCCCACCAGGCAGGGTGACCTAAAAAGAAAAACAAAAGTTTTTATTTTTAAATTTAATAATTTATACAGATGAAGGTGTTATTAGCCCCTTGCTCCTGGCATTTTAGTCGCCTCTTATGACACTTATGACTATAAAGCAAAATATTGTCGAAATTGAGACACATGTGCGACATCTGGGTATCTTTATTGTAGACGTTTCACCCTCCAGTGGCTTTATCAATACAAATTCCAGGACATAACTTGAAGTCCTAGAATTTGTATTGATAAAGCAACTGGAGGGCAAAACGTCTACGATAAAGATACCCAGATTGCACATGTGTCTCAATTTCATTTTGTCGGTATTATATACCATTCTTGTACAAAATATTGTAATAAAAATTGCTGCTCTGCAGGTGTACTGTTCCAAAAAATCTATTAATCACTCCTGGTGCGTATGTCAATAATGCACACCTCAAAAATATTTTGAACCTTCAACATGAATCCCTACACTGACCTACTACTCTGCCTACTCTTCCTGGGACCTGACTCAAGACATCCATCTCTCCTTACTGTGACATTATTATTTATGGGGATATGCTAGATCCATAGCAGTCATGCAGTGCCTGGAGAACGGGAGGCTATCAGATCTGATTTAAGGAAGGGAAAGCTAGCTCCAATTCCTTGTCACCCACCAAGGCAAGGTGACCTAAAAAGGAAACGCTGTAACCATCACTCATACTAATGCTGTCTTGCCAGAGACGCATAGATATAACAGTTTAGATGTCACTCTAAACAGACAAATACAGTGGACCCCCGCTTTACGATTGCCTCCCAATGCGACCATTTATGTAAGTGCGTTTGTACGTGTATGTTTGGGGGTCTGAAATGGACTAATCTAATTCACAATATTCCTTATGGGAACAAATTCGGTCAGTACTGGCACCTGAACATACTTCTGGAATGAAAAAATATCGTAAACCACTGTATTCCAAAACCATCCTTTAGAGTACAGACACTGTACTTCCCACCTAAATAAACTTAATTACAATGCCACAAGTCACTCCCCTGAAGCACTGGCTCACATCGAGGCATCCAAAAAATGTTGATGGTGGTGTTTAGTTTGTCAGGAAATAGAACAAGTGTCATCTAATGGTTCTTTGTCAGATGCTGACCAATTAACTGGCTAAGCATCAGCTCCTCTCCACTTACATGAATCAAACCTCATTACCTCTCATTTTCCAGGAGCTGTATGACCATCATGAGCTCCCCATTTCCCCATAATGATAATACAGGTGTGATGGGTGTCTCACAGGTCCTAAGCTATACTGGACTGCAATAATAGCTGGGTTGGTAGTGCACTCAGCTCACACATTGAGGTCTGTGGTTTGATCCCTGGTATGGGTAGAAACATTAGGATATGTTTCTTTAAGACATCTGGTGTCATTGTTCACCTAGCAGTGTAGTAAGATCACAGTAAACAGGTGATATAATATGCAGAACAACCACTGTAAAAAGAATAATTAACTTTGAAGCACTGTCGTGATTTCTCACATTATCAAGGAACTGATAATGTGAGAAATCATGAAAGCACTTGGAAGTTCACTATTCTTTTCACAGCGGTTGTTCTACAGGTACCTAATTTTTGTCTAGTGGCTAACGCGACGGGCTGGAGTTTTGAGACTCTATGACCGCGGGTTCAATCCCGGCCGGGGGTTTGGTTTGTTTGCAATCGTGTCATTACGATTTCTTGAGTCATGTTGACTGCAGTGAAGGGACTTGAGCTAGAGTTCGTCACGGCCACGCTAGCTGGAGATTCGTCTGTAAAAACTTGCATTTGTGGTCACAGAGGTGCCTGTGCTAACCTTCCTATGGTGTAGAAAATATACCTAGTTGGATGAATCTTATTGTGGCTAGCTGGTCTAGTGGCTAACGTCGACGGGCTGGAGTTTTGAGACTATGACCGCGGGTTCAATCCTGGCCGGGGTATGGTTTATGATCTACCTAAAAAGGGGCTTTCTAAATAGTAAGTCACTGACGTCAGCTATGGTTTGTATACTGTATCATGTATCTGCAGAAAAAAAGATTATAATTATTATTATTATTAAGAGTTTCACTTACTGATCATGGTAGTGCCGCCAGCCAGGGCAGCACGAGTGCCTGTATAGAAATCATCGACAGCAAATGTCCCCATGAATGGCAGTTGCATGTGAGTGTGGGTGTCAATGCCACCTGTTCGAAGAAACAATCTCAAGTTTGCAATGAGCCAATAACCATAGCTGGAACAATTTAAAGCTTACAATAAGTCATAATACCATGACTGGAACTGTGAGAGAGAAGGAATTTTGAGAGATAATAAAAACTGTGAGATTTTAAAACAAAGGGTCAACTTAAACCCCAGACAAGACTTGACCCTCTTACTGACCTGGCATGACCAGGGACCGGGGCCTCCACCACCCGTGTGCCCCCGGGGGTTGTGGAGATTGATCCAATTTGTCTGAAAAAACAGGAATACGAATTAATTACAAATACAAAAAGGGTGATCGAGGGGCTTACAATAAAAAAACATTCTGAAAGGATATAAAAAAATGTGTAAATTTTTTTTACCCAAGTAAGAGGTAAAAAAAAAAAGAGGGGATTTATTAACCCGGGAAGAATGTTAACCCTTAAACCTAAAAAAGCCAACCCAGTGGTTTATTCCCTTTTGGGGGCCCTTTTGGCCCCCCCCTCAGGAAGCCAAAATTAAGTTGACAAATGCCCAGGTGCCTTTTTAGTATGTAAACAGGAGCAGAGGTGCCGGAAACTTGCTCCTACTCTTCCTTCCCCAAAAGATGCCCCTACAAAAACCCATAAAACCCGCACCCATTAACTGCTAGGGAAAAAGGGTTTAAAAAGGTCCGGGAGCTTCCCCTATGTCCACCCAGGGGGTTAAAATTTCCCCTTTTTTTTTTTTAGTTGTGAATTGGTGCTACCACTCTCAAAACTCAAAAAGAAACTGTGTTTGTATGTTTGTTTTTCTTTTTTTTTTAACAACCCCCGTCTCCCCCGGGCAGGGTGCCCCAAAAAAAAGAAAAAATCCCAAAAAGAAATTTTCTATCATTCAACATTTTCCCCCACACTCCACTTATCATTTTTTGCAGGGGTGCTCAGAATCAACAGTTAGAAGCAAAACCCAAAAAAAGATACACAACTATCCCCCCAAACTCCAATACCCCAAAAACCCCCCTTTTAAAAGTGCAGGCATTGTACCCCCATTTCCGGACTCAAGTCGCTAAAAAATTTTTTACCTTTTTCCCCTGAATCCCTTCCAAAAATTTTCCCCGCCACACTCCAACGTGTCGGGGTCCCAAGACCATTCGCCCCTTTCATCCTACAAAACTGCTAACGCCCGCTTGTGGAAGCCAAGCCCCTTCCCCAAAAAAACCTCCTTTACCCCCTCTCTCCAACCCTTTCGGGGACGCCCCCTACCCCGCCTTCCTTCCCCTATAGATTTATTGTTTTCCCATGTCATTCTACTTTGATCCATTCTCTCTAAATGCCAAACCCCTCAACAACCCCCTTCTGCCCTCGACTAATATTTTATTAACTCACCCCTTTTCCCCAAATTTCCACACTCCAAATTTTCTGCATAATATTTACACCACCATTGCCCTTAAACGGGACACTCCACGCCTTCCAACCGTCTCCTCGCTGTGCATTTTCCACCCAACTTCACCCCATATAAGAGTTTGGTTTTTCTTTCATACATCCCCCCCTTTCCCATAGATAAGTTTTTTGACTCCCTTACCTAAAACCACCCTCACCTTTTTTCCCTCATCAATTTTGTTTCCTTCCTTCATAAATCCATCCGCCGACACGTCAACTCCCAAAAAACTAAAATTCCTTTTTCCCCCCCCAATTTGATATTTTTTTTCATCTAAACATTTACCCCATACCTTACTTTTTCATTTCACTTTCTTTTTACCTTTAACACTCCCCAAAACTCTTCCTCCTTTTTTTTTAAACCCCCCCAAAAAATTCCAAAAAAAGTAAACTTTTAATTATTTTAATTTTTCCCCAAAAAAAAATTTTCCCCCCCCTCTCCAACCCCCTTTTTTTTTTTAAACCCCATCTAAATCTGGCCCCCCCAAAAGAGGATCCCCCATTTTTCCCCTAACTTACTTTTTTCCCCAAAAATTTTAGCCTTTAATTAAAAACCCCACCTTTTCCATCCTTTTAAAATTGCCCTGCCCCTCACTCCCTTTTTCCCCTTTTTAAAACCCCCAATGCTAAAATCCAAATTTATCAAAAATTTTTTTTATTGTTTTTGGGGTTTTTTTAAAATTCCATGGGCCCCGAAATTTATCCAACCCCGTTTTAAAAATAAATTATAAAATTGAAAATTTTGGGGGGGGGGCTTTTTTCCCTAATTTTTGCCTTTGGTCCCTTTCCCCTTTTTAAAGAAAAAATGTTCAGATTTGAAATTCCCCCAACCTTTATAAAAAAAATCCCCCCCACACTTTCCCGTCTTTGTTTTCCCCTGCATGTTTCCCCCTTTTTTTAAAACTTAAAAACCAATTTTTTTTTTCACCAAAAAAAGGGGTTACTTTCCGGGAAAAAAAGGGTTTTCCCCAAAAAAAAGGCTTCAAATAATCCTAAAAGGGGGGCCCCTTTTCTAAAAAAACTCCCCTTATCCCCCCCAATTCCCAGCTTCATAAAAGTTTAATTTAAAATTTCTTTTTTATTTTTGGTTTAAAAAAACTTTTTTAAAAAAAAATTTTTTTCTTTTTTTTAAAAATTTTTTCCTTTTTTAATGGGGAAAAAATTTTTTGCTAACTTTTTATAAATTTTCCCCCCCTTCCAAAACTTTCCCGGGGGGCCCCAAAATTTTTTCAACCTGGGCTTCAAACCTTTAAACCACTTTACCGGGGTTATCCCCCCTTTACCCCAAAAGGCCCTTTACCCAAAAAAAAAACCCCCCTTTTAAAACTTTCCACCCTTTCCTTTTTTGCACCTCCCTTTTCCCACCACCTTTTTCCTTTCTAAACCAAAAAATGCAAAAAAAAATTCCCCCCTTTATCAAAATATGTTACTTATGCTTAAATGTAAAACTTGATCTACACATCCCTCCCACCTGAAACCCCTTGCTCATCCGAAAACCCAAATTTCTGTCTTCCCTCTAATTCTTTAAATTATAACCCCCCGTACACTTTTCCTGGTATACCAGAAAGCTTTTTCCCTATAATTTTTACAGTCTCTTTTGTCCCCTTTCCCTTTATATAAAGGGCTATACATGCTCTCGCCAATCCCTGGGTTTACCTTCCCCTCTTTCATACATTTATTAAACAAAAGTACCAACCATCCAACACTATATCCCCCCCTGCTTTTAACATTTCTGTCATGATCCATCATTCCAGCTGCTTTACCCCCTTTCATTTTACGTAATGCCTCACGTACCTCCCCCACACTTACATTCTGCTCTTCTTCACTCCTAAAGATGGTTTTACCTCCGGGCCCAAAGTGCATGAAATTACTGCTTCTGTTTCTTCCTTAACATTTAAAAGTTCCTCAAAATTTCTGCCATTACCCAATACCTCCATCTCCCCATCTACAAACTCCCCTACTCTGTTTTTAACTGACAAACCCATATTTTCCAAAGGCTTTCTTAACTTGTTTAACTCACCCCAAAAATTTTTTCTTATTTTCATTAAAATTTCTTGACAGTGCCTTTTCCCCTCTATCTCGCTCTCCTTTTGCACTCTCTCACCACTCTCTTTACCTTTCTTTTACTCCCCATATACTCTGCTCTTCTTATAACACTTCTGCTTGTAAAAACCTCTCATAAGCTACCTTTTTCTTTTTTATCACACCCTTTACTTCATCATTCCACCAATAAACTCCTCTTTCCCTCCTGCTCCCCCCTCCTATAACCACAAACTTTCCCCCACATTCTAATACTGCATTTTTAAAACTATTCCAACCCTTTTAAACCCCCCCCACTACTCATCTTTGCACTAGCCCACCTTTCTGCAATAGTCGCTTATATCTCCCCCGAACTTCCTCCTCCCTTAGTTTATACACTTTCACCTCCTCTTACTTGTTGTTGCCACCTTCCTCTTTTCCCATCTACCTCTTACTCTAACTGTAGTAAACAAATAATGATCGATATATCAGTTGCCCCTCTATAACATGTACATCCTGGAGCCTACCCATCAACCTTTTATCCACCAATACATAATCTAATAAACTACTTTCATTACGTGCTACATCATACCTTGTATATTTATTTATCCTCTTTATTCATAAAATATGTATTACTTATTACCAAATTTTTCCTACACATAGCTCAATTAAAGGCTCCCCATTTACATTTACCCTGGCACCCCAAAATTACCTACTACTCCCTCCATAACATTTTTACCACTTTAGCATTGAAATCCCCAACCACCATTACTCTCACACTTGATTCAAAACTCCCCACGCATTCACTCAACATTTCCCAAAATCTCTCTCTCTCCTCTACACTTTTCTCTTCTCCAGGTGCATACACGCTTATTATAACCCACTTTTCACATCCAATCTTTATTTTACTCCACATAATCCTTGAATTAATACATTTATAGTCCCTCTTTTCCTGCCATAGCTTATCCTTCAACATTATTGCTACTCCTTCTTTAGCTCTAACTCTATTTGAAACCCCTGACCTAATCCCATTTATTCCTCTCCACTGAAACTCTCCCACCCCCTTCAGCTTTGTTTCACTTAAAGCCAGGACATCCAGCTTCTTCTCATTCATAACATCCACAATCATCTCTTTCTTATCATCTGCACAACATCCATGCACATTCAGACTTCCCACTTTGACAATTTTCTTCTTCTTATTCTTTTTAGTAATCTTTACAGGAAAAGGGGTTACTAGCCCCATTGTTCCTGTGCATTTTAGTTGACTTTTACAACACGCATGGCTTACGGAGGAAAGATTCTTATTCCACTTCCCCATGGATATAAAAGGAAAATTAATAAGACCAAGAACTATTAAGATAAAATCAAAGAAAACTCAGATGAGTGTGTATAAATAAATGTGTACATGTATGTGTAGTGTGACCTAAGTGTAAGTAGAAGTAGCAAGACATGCCTGTAATCTTGCATATTTATGAGACAGACAAAAGACATCAGCAATCCTACCATCATGTAAAACAATCACAGGCTTTCGTTTTACACTCGGCAGGACGGTAGTACCTCCCTGGGTGGTTGCTGTCTACCAACCTACTACATACATACATATATATATATATATATATATATATATATATATATATATATATATATATATATATTATTATATATTATTATGTTATTTTGAGAAAATATACAGATCTTTTCAGAACTCACACAGTGCAGTCCAACTTTATACAGAGAGAATTTCTTGGGTTAATTCCTAAGGGATTTATATAAAGTATATATGTACATACCTATATAAATCTTCCTCTATCTCAAAGGTCAGGAATTGCTCATGTGGAATATAGACACAATACTTGATTTTCATGGTTTATCCATAACAAAGTGAACAAAAATTTGCATAAGTAAAAAATATCATAAGCCAAAAATATCGTAAGTCGAATATGAATGATAAAAAAATAAGTAACTACAGTACTGTCACTGAATAAATAAATAAATAATTACTGTGACTAACTAAATACTACCAGTATTCAAAAGTTAATAAATGAATACAAGTTAGGGTCTTGCCTCCCTCATGCTGGGTAATTATCTTAAGTTTCATCTCCAAAGTAACTGCTGCCGCACCATCATAAAGTTGAAATATCATAAGCCGAACGATCGTCGGCTGAGGAGCACCTGTACTCATTTTGGATTTTTTAATAGCGAGACTACCATGTGGTCACCAGGCCAGGCACTGGAACAGGCTGTGGACCTACAGGAAGTAAGCTGTGGACCTACACAAGGTAGGCTGTGAACCTACAGGAGGGTAGACTGTGGACCTACAGGAGGACAGACTGCAGACCTACAGGAGGGTAGACCATGGACCTACAGGAGGTACCATCCTCTTCTTATACAACTGGCAAACTGAAGCTTGTTAAATATTTGTCACTCTGGCAGGGTTTCTAGTCTTCCTGTTGTTTCATGAACATGCAAGATGGCAGGTAAATCACAGACACTTCTACTTTCACTCAATACACTCTTATTATGGAGCCGCTGGGGTCTGAACCCACGGCAAGTTAGTCCTAAAACTCACAGCCAGCTGGTCAAGTGGTTAACGCACTGGCCATGGGTACAAATCTCACTCATTCCATGGTTTGTTTATATCTTTGTGACTCAACACTTATCTTTACTTTCCTGTAGCAAGGCAACTAACACCCAGGTGCCTACTTACTGCTAGGTGAACAGTGACAGCAGGTGTCTTAAGGAAACACGTCCTAATGTTTCCACCCGTACTGGGGGTCGAACCACGGACCTCAGTGTGTGAGCTGAGTGCACTACCAACCCAGCAACGGAACACCCATTTTGCCACAAATGGCTTCTTCAGTTTCCACAATGTCATGATCCAGCTATAAGATGTTCGTTGCCATTATGAAGATGGTTTGCCTTACACCTGCTGCCCCAGCTCACTTAGCAGTAAAAACGAGGTACCTGGGTGTTGTCTCATGGGTCGCATCTGGGGGGAATTTTGCAATGCAAATGTGTAAGATAACTCCAGTGCTGCTGAATGTTGTATTCTGCAGAAAAACACAATTGTATAAGACAATGCCAGTAATGTTTAATGTTGCATTCTGGAGAAAAACACAAGTGTGTAAGACAACTCCAGACTATCTGGAAGAATTCATGTTGAGTGAAAGTTGCCTCCACAATGTTATGTATGTATAAATATATTTAAAACTTTACTTCTATAGCGTACAGTATGTATTATACAATTAGGATGACTGACATATGTAAACTCTATAGAAAGTCCCTTGCTATGCAAGACATTCTGGACAGTCTTAAAACTAAATTATGATTACTAGTAAATATGAATATAACAACACGCCGTGCTTATTATAATGGATTTTTTTTTAACAAGTGGGCCATCTCCCACCAAGGCAGGTAAACCCCCCCCCCCCCCAAAAAAAAAAAAAAAAAAAAAAAAACCACTCACCATCATTCACAATCACTGTCTTTACAGAGGCACTCAGATATGACAGTTCTCATAATACAGAAATAAAAACTAATAATAATAATAATAATATAAATGGTGCAGAAGAAAAAGCTGAAGATAAAGATAGGTAAAATGAAGATAGTAAGATAATGAAAATGATGACGATGGCACTAAAGATGATAAAGATAAATATTTGAAGTGCTCACTTAATAAGACCATCCTCGATGTACACGTCAGCATCTTGCATCATGTCATCGTTGACGACTCTGCCACCTTTGATCAAGAGCCGGTTCTGGGCACTCTGCAACACAAAAAAATCAACAAACTGCAGTAATCAGCTAACTTTATTACAATAAATGAAAATAAATTATTAGTAAAGTATTTTAGATAGTACAATAATACCCTTTTTTCCAGGGTTCAGGGAAGAATATTGCCCTAATAAAGCTTGGAATAATAGACTAAATATAAAGACTGGGATAATAAAGCAACTTCCATTGGCAAGATAAACGAGAGTAATAATGCCCAATTAGGTCTGGTGAACCCTTTGACTAAACCCTGAAAGAAGGTGGCTATTAGAATTTAACCCTAGCAAAGTTGTGAAAATCGTAGATGGACAAGAAGACCAGAAACGGAGTACAGACTCGGGGGAGCAATGCTGCAAGCCTCCCTGAAAGAGAAGGGCCTCGAGGTGAACATAAGTTTCAACCATTTTATCTGATAAATTAGACACGTGTGCAACTCTTGGGTATCTTTATTGAGGAAATGTTTCGCCACACAGTGACTTCATCAGTCCATACAAAGGAGAATCTTGAAGAACAGGAGGAGAATGATTGAGGGACTGATTACCTCATTCTCCTCCTGTTCTTCACGTTTCTCCTTTGTATGGACTGATGAAGCCACTGTGTGGCGAAACGTTTCCTCAATAAAGATACCCAAGAGTTGCACACGTGTCTAATTTATCAACATGTCGGTTCTCTGAACCATTCATCTACATTTAATCTGAGGTTGACATTAACCAAATAATGGCCACTGCAAATTGTAAGACTGGCCTATTTGTGGGTAATTTTTAGTAGGCTTAGTAAGGAATTATTTAAAACCCTATACATGATGTATGTCAGGCCCATCTTGGAGTATGCAACCTTCAACTGATATAACTTTGATATACTTTTGATGAGTTGTGAGTTTTTTTTCTAATTCCCGAGCCCAGCCATGGACCAGGCTTGTCTGGTGCTTGCCTGGTCGACCAGGCTGTTGCTGCTGGTGGCCTGCAGCCCCACATATCCATCACAGCCTGGTTGATCTGGCAAAAAGTGTAAAGGGTGTGAGCTATGAGAAGCTAAGGGAGCTAAACTTGATGACAATAGAAGACAGAGGGATCATGGAGGAGTCTGTTAGAGAGACAGATCTCAGGTACACAGAGGCACTGCTGGAAGTAAGTTTATTCAGGTATACACAAATATAGTTACATAGATTATCATACATAGCAGCATATGTGTAGAGAACCTAGAATAACCCCAAAAAAGTCAGAGGCTTATCTCCAAGTCACAGGGATGTTAGGAAATATTTTCTCAGCTTTAGGATGGTAAGGAAGGATTATTATTATTATAATCAAAAAGAAGCGCTAAGCCACAAGGACTATACAGCAGGTAAGGAAGGAGAACAATCTGGACAGTGAAAGTGGTAGGAAGGATCCATACCTAATTTTAAGAGTACAATTGTTCACTTAAAAAAAACAATCAATAACCTATACACTTAAAAAACAATCAATAACCTATACACTTAAAAAAACAATCAATAACCTATACACTTAAAAAACAATCAATAACCTATACACTTAAAAAACAATCAATAACCTATACACTTAAAAAACAATCAATAACCTATACACTTAAAAAACAATCAATAACCTATACACTTAAAAAACAATCAATAACCTATGTCTAGCTCTGGAAATATTAAGTCACCTTGACTTTTTTTGAGGTTATTCTGGTGGGTGATTTACATATATGTTACTATGTATGATTATTTGAGGACCTGTACTTATGTGTACCTGTACTTAAACTTACTTACATTACTTATAGCACATGTGCACTCTAACCTAGTTACAGTACATGTGCACTCTAACCTAGTTACAGTACCTGTGCACTCTAACCTAGTTACAGTACCTGTGCACTCTAACCTAGTTACAGTACCTGTGCACTCTAACCTAGTTACAGTACCTGTGCACTCTAACCTAGTTACAGTACCTGGCACTCTAACCTAGTTACAGTACCTGTGCACTCTAACCTAGTTACAGTACCTGTGCACTCTAACCTAGTTACAGTACCTGTGCACTCTAACCTAGTTACAGTACCTGTGCACTCTAACCTAGTTACAGTACCTGTGCACTCTAACCGAGTTACAGTACCTGTGCACTCTAACCGAGTTACAGTACCTGTGCACTCTAACCGATTACAGTACCTGTGCACCTAACCGAGTTACAGTACCTGTGCACTCTAACCGAGTTACAGTACCTGTGCACTCTAACCCAGTTACAGTACCTGTGCACTCTTAGTTACAGTACCTGTGCACTCTAACCTAGTTACAGTACCTGTGCACTCTAACCTTGTTACAGTACCTGTGCACTAACCTAGTTACAGTATCTGTGCACTCTAACCGAGTTACAGTACCTGTGCACTCTAACCGAGTTACAGTACCTGTGCACTCTAACCGAGTTACAGTACCTGTGCACTCCAGCCGAGTTACAGTACCTGTGCACTCTAGCCTAGTTACAGTACCTGTGCACTTTAGCCGAGTTACAGTACCTGTGCACTCTAACCTTGGTACAATACCTGTGCACTCTAACCTAGTTACAGTACCTGTGCACTCTAACCTTGTTACAGTACCTGTGCACTCTAACCTTGTTACAGTACCTGTGCACTCTAACCTAGTTACAGTACCTGTGCACTCTAACCTTGTTACAGTACCTGTGCACTCTAACCTAGTTACAGTACCTGGAGAGAGTTTCGGGGGTCAACGCCCCCGCGGCCCGGTCTGTGACCAGGCCTCCTGGTGGATCAGCGCCTGATCAACCAGGCTGTTGCTGCTGGCTGCACGCAAACCAACGTACGAGCCACAGCCCGGCTGATCAGGAACTGACTTTAGGTGCTTGTCCAGTGCCAGCTTGAAGACTGCCAGGGGTCTGTTGGTAATCCCCCTTATGTGTGCTGGGAGGCAGTTGAACAGTCTCGGGCCCCTGACACTTATTGTATGGTCTCTTAACGTGCTAGTGACACCCCTGCTTTTCATTGGGGGGATGGTGCATCGTCTGCCAAGTCTTTTGCTTTCGTAGTGAGTGATTTTCATGTGCAAGTTCGGTACTAGTCCCTCTAGGATTTTCCAGGTGTATATAATCATGTATCTCTCCCTCCTGCGTTCCAGGGAATACAGGTTTAGAAACCTCAAGCGCTCCCAGTAATTGAGGTGTTTTTATCTCCGTTATGCGCGCCGTGAAAGTTGCTCTGTACATTTTCTAGGTCGGCAATTTTCACCTGCCTTGAAAGGTGCTGTTAGAGTGCAGAAATATTCCAGCCTAGATAGAACAAGTGACCTGAAAAGTGTCATCATGGGCTTGGCCTCCCTAGTTTTGAAGGTTCTCATTATCCATCCTGTCATTTTTTCTAGCAGATGCGATTGATACAATGTTATGGTCCTTGAAGGTGAGATCCTCCGACATGATCACTCCCAGGTCTTTGATGTTGGTGTTTCGCTCTATTTTGTGGCCAGAATTTGTTTTGTACTCTGATGAAGATTTAATTTCCTCATGTTTACCATATCTGAGTAATTGAAATTTCTCATCGTTGAACTTCATATTGTTTTCTGCAGCCCACTGAAAGATTTGGTTGATGTCTGCCTGGAGCCTTGCAGTGTCTGCAATGGAAGACACTGTCATGCAGATTCGGGTGTCATCTGCAAAGGAAGACACGGTGCTGTGGCTGACATCCTTGTCTATGTCGGATATGAGGATGAGGAACAAGATGGGAGCTAGTACTGTGCCTTGTGGAACAGAGCTTTTCACCGTAGCTGCCTCGGACTTTACTCTGTTGACTACTACTCTCTGTGTTCTGTTAGTGAGGAAATTATAGATCCATCGTACCTGTGCACTCTAACCGAGTTACAGTACCTGTGCACTCTAACCTAGTTACAGTACCTGTGCACTCTAACCTAGTTACAGTACCTGTGCACTCTTAGTTACAGTACCTGTGCACTCTAACCTAGTTACAGTACCTGTGCACTCTAAACTATTCAGTACCTGGCACTCTTAGTTACAGTACCTGTGCACTCTAACCTGTTACAGTACCTGTGCACCCAACCTAGTTACAGTACTGTGCACTCTAACCTAGTTACAGTACCTGTGCACTCTAACCTTGTTACAGTACCTGGCACCCAACCGAGTTACAGTACCTGTGCACTCTAACCGAGTTACAGTACCTGTGCACTCTAACCGAGTTACAGTACCTGTGCACTCTAACCGAGTTACAGTACCTGTGCACTCCAGCCGAGTTACAGTACCTGTGCACTCTAGCCTAGTTACAATACCTGTGCACTTTAGCCGAGTTACAGTACCTGTGCACTCTAACCTTGGTACAATACCTGTGCACTCTAACCGAGTTACAGTACCTGTGCACTCTAACCGAGTTACAGTACCTGTGCACTCTAACCGAGGTACAGTACCTGTGCACTCTAACCGAGTTACAGTACCTGTGCACTCTAACCGAGGTACCGTACCTGTGCACTCTAACCGAGTTACAGTACCTGTGCACTCTAACCGAGTTACAGTACCTGTGCACTCTAACCGAGGTACCGTACCTGTGCACTCTAACCGAGGTACCGTACCTGTGCACTCTAACCGAGTTACAGTACCTGTGCACTCTAACCGAGTTACAGTACCTGTGCACTGCCCCACTCCCAAAAGGCCAATGCATAGGTCCTCAGGAAAGGTGGACCCAAGGCCTATATTATATGCCTTTGATGGTCCCTCAGGCCTAAAATCTAAAGCAGACACCTCACTCCCTGAGTCAGCATTCTTCCAACACCGGCACTAAAGTCTTTGTTAGGTTTAAAGCCTATCGACTACACGATGGCTGGTTTGTTCGATTTAAAGTCTATCTACTACACCTGTGCACCACCAGTATATAATTGTAATAAAATATACTGAAGGTCTTGACAGTTCTCGGTATATACACCTCTCGGTGTATATAACTACACATATATACCTTGGAATATGAAGATATCCACCTCCTGGTGTATATAGCTACACATACAACTCGGTGTATATACGCAGATATACACCTCCCAGTGTATATATATGCAGATATATACCCCACGGTATATATGCAGATATATACCCGAGAGTATATAAGCAGATATATACCCGAGGGTATATATGCAGATATATACCCCAGGGTATATATGCAGATATATACCCCAGCGTATATACTCATATACCTCAGTGTATACACATACCTCAGTGTATATACATATACACCTCAGTGTATATATATACAGATATAAAACTGTTTATTTACACTGACCAAACATGAAAATCATATAATTATTATTATAATCAAAAGCAAGCGCTAAACCCAGACGGATATAAAATTAGCTAAGAGGAGAGGATTAATTAGTGGCGTGTTTGCGCTTAAATTTTTACGAAATGTTACGACCGAGATGAATTTTTTTACTGATCCCGAGATATCGGTTTTATAGTTACACAGCTAAACCGGAGGACTGGAAGATGATTTGGTTTGATCCAAGGAAGAAGCAGCAGGGGTGGCCGGTGGCCTGGTGGCTAAAGCTCCCGCTTCACACACGGAGGGTCCGGGTTCGATTCCGGCGGGTGGAAACATTTCGACACGTTTCCTTACACCTGTTGTCCTGTTCACCTAGCAGCAAATAGGTACCTGGGTGTTAGTGGACTGGTGTGGGTGGCATCCTGGGGGACAAGATTAAGGACCCACAATGGAAATAAGTTAGACAGTCCTCGATGACGCACTGACTTTCTTGGGTTATCCTGGGTGGCTAACCCTCCGGGGTTAAAAATCCGAACGAAATCTTATCTGATCGGGCAGGCGGTGCAACATTCCCCCAGTGACAAGCAGGGGCACCACGAGTACACTGGGAGACAACACAATAAGTGTCAGGGACCCAAGACTGTTCAACTGCCTCCCAGCATATATAAGGGGGATTACCAATACACCCCTGGCTGTCTTCCAGACCCCCCTGGCTGTCTTCAAGATCCCCTGGCTGTCTTCCAGACCCCCCTGGCTGTCTTCCAGACCCCCCTGGCTGTCTTCAAGATCCCCTGGCTGTCTTCCAGACCCCCCTGGCTGTCTTCAAGACCCCCTGGCTGTCTTTCAGACCCCCCTGGCTGTCTTCAAGACCCCCTGGCTGTATTCAAGATCCCCTGGCTGTCTTCCAGACCCCCCTGGCTGTCTTCAAGATCCCCTGGCTGTCTTCCAGACCCCCCTGGCTGTCTTCAAGACCCCCTGGCTGTCTTCCTGTATAGGGGCTTTCGGCAGGTACACCCAACTGTCATTCTCCTATGTACAAACATCGTATCATGCTGAAATGAATTATTATTAGAGACAAATGGTTTTTAGGACCTGAGGTGCTGTTGGAGTGTGACACTGGCAGGCCGGACTTGAGTCCTGGAGATGGGAAGTACAGTGCCTGCACTCTGAAGGACGGGTGTTAATGTTCCAGTTTTATAACTGTAGTGTAAAACATCGCTCTGACAAGACAGTGATGGAGTGAATGATGGTGAAAGTTTTTCTTTTTCGGGCCACCCTGCCTTGGTGGCCACCCTGCCTTGGTGGCCACCCTGCCTTGGTGGCCACCCTGCCTTGGTGGCCACCCTGCCTTGGTGGGAGACGGCCGATGTGTTAATAAAATAATTATTATTGTTACTACAAGAGAAGAGCTTGCACATATCTTCCATGTGGTGTGCGTGTGTGTACTCACCTAGTTGAGGTTGCAGAGGTCGAGTCCAAGCTCCTGGCCCCGCCTCTTCACTGTGTGTGTGTGTGTGTGTGTGTGTACTCACCTAGTTGAGGTTGCAGGGGTCGAGTCCAAGCTCCTGGCCCCGCCTCTTCACTGATTGCTACTAGGTCCTGTGTGTACTCACCTAATTGTGGTTGCAGGGGTCGAGACTCAGCTCCTGGCCCCGCCTCTTCACTGTGTGTGTGTGTGTGTGTGTGTGTGTGTGTGTGTGTGTGTGTGTGTACTCACCTAGTTGAGGTTGCAGAGGTCGAGTCCAAGCTCCTGGCCCCGCCTCTTCACTGATTGCTACTAGGTCCTGTGTGTACTCACCTAATTGTGGTTGCAGGGGTCGAGACTCAGCTCCTGGCCCCGCCTCTTCACTGTGTGTGTGTGTGTGTGTGTGTGTGTGTGTGTGTGTGTGTGTAAACACATGAAAGCACTCAGGTTTTATTTAACTATGTATGATTACTTATGTATACCTGTGCCTAAATAAACTAGGTGTTGGGAATATGTCTATCAGTGTGTCGGTACTGTATAGGAGTAAAAGGCGGGGCCAGGAGCTATGAATCGACCCCTGCAACCATAAATAGACGAGTACAATACTCGTCTGCACCCTGGGAGAGATGAGGATAGTATTGTCACAGCAGTAGGCTGTATCACCTTTAAATATCGAGCCTAACTGTGGCTAACATGCCTCGCGTCTACGATATATTGTACCTGCCTTAAAATATTACACACCGGCGGGTCATCAAGGGCCAGAGAACCTTGATGATGCTGACGGACTCTTGATTTTGAGAAATGGAGCCTATCTACCACACGAGGGCTGGTTTGTTGGGTTTAAAACCTATCTACTAGCAAGTTGCTTTGTTAGGTTTAAAATCTGTTGTTAATATTACAGGAAGCGCTAATCCTGGGGGACGGATTTAGAGGGGAATCAGTTTTGATCCAAGGGAGAAAAAGTTCAAATTCCTTGGATCAAGAGCTCTCTGCTAGCATCAAGGGACCTCCTCTGAGGGGATTACGTGGATTACAAGGATATGATGGATTACCAGGGATTTATGTAATGGATTACCAGGGATTTTATGTAACGGATTACCAGGGATTTATGTAACGGATTACCAGGGATTTATGTAAAGGATTACCAGGGATTTATGTAAAGGATTACCAGGGATTTATGTAAAGGATTACCAGGGATTTATGTATGGGATTACCAGGGATTTATGTAATGAATTACCAGGGATTTATGTAAGGGATTACCAGGGATTTATGTATGGGATTACCAGGGATTTATGTAACGGATTACAAGGGATATATATAATAGATTACCAGGGATACATATAATGAATTACCAGGGATTCATGTAAAGGATTACCAGGGATATATGTAATGGATTACCAGGGATACATATAATGAATTACCAGGGATTTATGTAAAGGATTACCAGGGATATATGTAATGGATTACCAGGGATACATATAATGAATTACCAGGGATACATATAATGAATTACCAGGGATTCATGTAAAGGATTACCAGGAAAATTATGTAATGGTTTACCAGGGATACATATAATGAATTACCAGGGATTCATGTAAAGGATTATCAGGGATTTATGTAAAGGATTACCAGGGATTTATGTAATGAATTACCAGAGATACACATAATGAATTACCAGGGATATAATGGATTATAAGGATATATAAGGGATTTCAGAGATATATTAGATTACCAGGAATATATACTGGATAACATGGGATATATACAAGAATATACTGTATCAGAAGGGCTAAATAACCTGTATATACGACTTCTTGTATCTCCTCAGGTAACTGGTGACTGACAACATTGTTTCTCAGTCTTGCTGATATATATTATTTCGTAAAGTCATAACATGTAAAAATATCCTCGACTCTACATGTAAAAAGAAAAAAAATCAAAATTTTCAGCCTAGTTGAAAATCAGAAATTTGGAAATCAGTCAATTTTCACTTATTTTGTCAGAATTTTTTCGTTGTAGTTAGTGTAACTAGTGTAGATAAATCTAGTATCTATACTAGTTAGCTAGTAGAAGCATGTATTAGACTAGGTAATGTATTTTTCCGGGGATAATTTCAAAATTTGGTAAACATGGCTGACAATATCGGCGCTGAGGCCAAAAATTCCACATTTTTCCTCAATTTCTCCACTTAACATTGAAATTTATCTTCCATATCTGGCGTGCACCTTCACAAGTCTTCAATTAACCAGTACGACCACAAAAATATATAATAACAAGTGATGATAAGGATAAAAAAGCAGATAAGTGAAGAGCAGCGCCGAGCAGCCTCCCTCCTTCACTCTCAACACTGACCCAAAATTTTTTTTTTTTTCAGCAAATATGAATCTTCTAGAAAATTTTGACTTTGTTATTCACGTTGTTTATACACTAGAAAATATAATCATAAAAAATAAAAAAATAAATATGATATTTATCATATTTCACTAAAAATAAAATATGCCACATTTTCAAATTATTTTTTTACGAAATCAGATTATTTATACAGAAGAAACCATATATATATTTTATAGCAATATATAAATATATATTTAGTAATCTCATATGTCTTACGTATTAAAAAAAATTCTATTCGAAATTCAAAAAATAAATTATCGATGCTAATGCTGTATAACCCTTGTGGTAAGATAAGATAAGATAAGATTTCGTTCGGATTTTTAACCCCGGAGGGTTAGCCACCCGGATTAACCCAAAAAAAGTCATTTGGCGAAAATCGAGGACTGTCTAAATTATTTCCATTGGGGTCCTTAATCTTGTCCCCCAGGATGCCACCCACACCAGTCGACTAACACCCAGGTACCTATTTGCTGCTAGGTGAACAGGACAACAGGTGTAAGGAAATGTGTCGAATGTTTCCACCCGCCGGGAATCGAACCCGGGCCCTCCGTGTGTGAAGCGGGAGCTTTAGCCACCAGGCCACCGGGCGCTTCTTTTTGATAATAATAATCGATGCTAATTATTTGGGTTTTCATTATTTTTTCCATTCGGAAACGTTCCTGAACTTCCCATTGTTAACTCAAAATAAGTCTGAATTAATTTGTCGGTCAATAAACACAGGTAATCAGTCCGTTATCCTGGGACTGATTACCTGGGACTTATCGTCCATCTTTCTCCATATTGGACTGATGAAGCCACTGGCTGGCGAAACGTCTCCAGAATACAGATGTTTCACAAGTGTCTTATTTATCAACCTGTCAGGTTTCTAAAGAATTTATTCAAATCCTTCTGGTGAGGTTGACAGGTGACTGGTGAGATCGACATGTGACTGGTGAGGTCGACATGTGACTGGTGAGGTTGATAGGTCACTGGTGAGGTCGACAGGTCACTGGTGAGGTCGACAGATAACTGGTGAGGTCGACAGGTCACTGGTGAGGTCGACATGTGACTGGTGAGGTCGACATGTGACTGGTGAAGTCGACATGTGACTGGTGAGGTTGATAGGTCACTGGTGAGGTCGACAGATAACTGGTGAGGTCCACAGGTCACTGGTGAGGTCGACAGATAACTGGTGAGGTCCACAGGTCACTTGTGAGGTCGACATGTGACTGGTGAGGTCGACATGTGACTGGTGAGGTTGATAGGTCACTGGTGAGGTCGACAGGTCACTGGTGAGGTCGACAGATAACTGGTGAGGTCCACAGGTCACTTGTGAGGTCGACATGTGACTGGTGAAGTTGATAGGTCACTGGTGAGGTCGACAGGTCACTGGTGAGGTCGACAGATAACTGGTGAGGTTGACGGTTACTGGTCATTCCTGGGGTAGGGAGTGTTAGCCACCCAGGATGACCTGGGTTAGGGACTGATTCCCAGTGTGGTCCTTCAATCTTGTGCCCCAGGATGCTATCAATACCATTAACCTAACAGCCAGGTACCTACTTGCTTGCTGAACAGGAACAACAGGTGTACAATGTTTCCACCCAGCCGGGGATCGAACCACGGACACTCAGTGTGTGAGGCCAGAGTGTTGACAACCAGACCACGGGCCACCGAGTCTGATGCAAGATGCAATTAGCATCTTGCATCTGCAATTATTATAATGATCTAGTAACTGTGACCACCTGCAGCCTGGAGGTTGTTCCAGGGGTCAACGCCCCCGTGGCCCCGTCCACAAGAAATCAAAATTTGTACCGATATAAGTGCTAAACAGTAAGGCCGATACCAGAGCCATCAAAATCACCCGATACCACTGATACTTCCTGATACCTACTGATACTAGCACATCTAGTGACCAGCATGACCTTACTGCTATAAATCCATGCTGACTGGCGGACCTACAATTTTGGGGCCCTGAAGCTTGAACTGTTATGGGGGGCCCTTCTCATACAATAGGCCCAAAAACTTTAAACAATGTGGACTACAGTGGCTTCTGTGGCCCCTCCAGGATTAGGGGCCACCAGGGATTAGGGGCCACCAAGCTTAAGCTTCAGTAGATCCGCCCCTGGTTACATAGATCATGTTTTTTTATTTAATTTGTAATCTGGGACCCTCGCCAGATTTTCGATTATATTTACAGTACTAATGAAGTTGGAGTGCTGTTATTAATAACGATAATAAATTTCTATAGTATACAGGTAACCTACTTGACATGTAATGATGTAATTATACCTCTATGTCTACCAGTACATGATGCAACTTGTACATACCATAGCTCAAACCAATGACATACTACTATAGTGAAAGCTGCTTGTTATGAAGAGTATTTCCTGCAGATTAGGTCAGTTTTGTCCCAGGATGCGACCCACACCAGTCTACTAACACCCAGGATGTGATCCACACCAGTCCACTAACACCCAGGATGCGACCCACACCAGTACACCAACACCCAGGATGTGACCCACACCAGTCCACTAACACCCAGGATGCGACCCACACCAGTCCACTAACACCCAGGATGTGACCCACACCAGTCCACTAACACCCAAGATGTGACCCACACCAGTCCACTAACACCCAGGATGCGACCCACACCAGTCCCCTAACACCCAGCATGTGACCCCCACCAGTCCCTAACACCCAGGATGCGACCCACACCAGTCCACTAACACCCAGGATGTGACCCACAAACCGTCCACTAACACCAAGATGTTGACCCACACCAGTCCACTAACACCAGGATGCGACCCACACCAGTCCACTAAATCAGGATGTGACCCACACCAGTCCACTAACACTCGGATGTGACCCCACCAGTCCACTAATACTCAGGATGTGACCCACACCAGTACACTAACACCCAAGATGTGACTCACACCAGTCCACTAACACTCAGGATGTGACCCACACCAGTCCACTAACACTCAGGATGTGACCCACACCAGTCCACTAACACCTAGGATGTGACCCACACCAGTCCACTAACGCTCAGGATGTGACCCACACCAGTCCACTAATACTCAGGATGTGACCCACACCAGTACACTAACACCCAAGATGTGACTCACACCAGTCCACTAACACTCAGGATGTGACCCACACCAGTCCACTAACACTCAGGATGTGACCCACACCAGTCCACTAACACCCAGGTACCTATTATACTGATGGGTGAGCAGGGACAGCAGGTGTCTTATGGACACCTGCCTTAATATTGTTAGGTACAGAATAAAACCAGAAACATGTGCATTTCGGGTACACATAAGTGCCATTATCATACATAGTAACGTGTGGAAAGTACCCATCACAACACCCAAATAGGTCAGTGACTTATTTCCACTGGGGTTGTGTCAGGTGGTGGTAGTGGGGTTGTGTCAGGTGGTGGTAGTGGGGTTGTGTCAGGTGGTGGTAGTGGGGTTGTGTCAGGAGGTGGTAGTGGGGTTGTGTCAGGTGGTGGTAGTGGGGTTGTGTCAGGTGGTGGTAGTGGGGTTGTGTCAGGTGGTGGTAGTGGGGTTGTGTCAGGTGGTAGTGGGGTTGTGGTCAGGTGGTGGTAGGGGGGGTTGTGTCAGGTGGTAGTGGGGTTTGTCAGGAAGTGGTAGTGGGGTTGTGTCTGGAGGTGGTAGTGGGGTTGTCTCAGGAGGTGGTAGTGGGGTTTTGTCAAGGGGGGTGGTTTGTGGGGTTGTGTCAGGAGTGGTGGTGGGGTTGTGTCAAGTGGTGGTAGTGGGGTTGTGTCAGGTGGTAGTGGGGTTGTGTCAGGTGGTGGGAGGGGGGGTTGTGTCAGGTGGTGGTAGTGGGGTTCTGTTAGGAAGTGGTAGTGGGGTTGTGTCAGGAGGTGGTGTGGGGTTGTGTCAGGTGGTGGTGTGGGGTTGTGTCAGGAGGTGGTTGTGGGGTTGTGTCAGGTGGGGGGTAGTGGGTTGCGTCAGGTGGTAGTGGGGTTGTCAGGTGGTAGTGGGGTTGTGCCAGGTGGTAGTGGGGTTGTGTCAGGAGGTGGTAGTGGGGTTGTGTCAGGTGGTAGTGGGGTTGTGTCAGGTGGTAGTGGGGTTGTGTCAGGGGTGGTAGTGGGGTTGTGTCAGGTGGTAGTGGGGTTGTGTCAGGTGGTAGTTGGGGGGTTTTGTCAGGGTTGTAGTGGGGTTGTGTCAGGTTGGTGGTAGTGGGGTTGTGTTTAGGTGGTGGTAGTGGGGTTGTGTCAGGAGGTGGTAGTGGGGTTGTGTCAGGTGGTAGTGGGGTTGGGGTCAGGTGGTGGTAGTGGGGTTGTGTCAGGAGGTGGTGTGGGGTTGTGTCAGATGGTAGTGGGGTTGTGTCAGGTGGTGGTAGTGGGGTTGTGTCAGATGGTAGTGGGGTTGTGTCAGGGGTGGTAGTGGGTTGTGTCAGGTGGTAGTGGGGTTTGTCAGGTGGTGGTAATGGGGTTGTGGGAGGTGGTGGTAGTGGGGTTGTGTCAGGTGGTGGTAGTGGGGTTGTGTCAGGGGGGAGGTGGGGGGTTGTGTTTAGGGGTGGTAGTGGGGTTGTGTCAGGTGGTAGTGGGGTTGTGTCAGGTGGTGGTAGTGGGGTTGTGTCAGGTGGTTGTGGGGTTGGTCAGGTGGTGGTAGTGGGGTTGTGTCAGGAAGTTTTTTACTGGGGGTTTGTACCTTGTGTTTTCTTCCTCCAGGGTGAAATGCTGTGTAACTGCGTGTTTGCTGTGGTCTGGAGTAATGTCTGCTGTGGTAGTGTATGAATGTCTCGGAAGGGAGCAGTTGCAACAAGAAGTAACGTAGCTGTGCAACACAGCAGCAAACAGTTGTAATCAGGTTGCAACTGCAGCAGTAGTAGCAACGCAGTAACAGCAG